CACATCTACGCCATCAACGAACAAGTTCCCTGCACAACCTCGATGCAAATAGTCATCTATGGCAAAGGTTACCAATGACGATAATACATCAATATTTCTATCAAATGGATCCGGCACGGCGACGAAAGTGACTATTGCGATACTTCTTGACAATTTTGTATCGACCTCCATAAAGTGTTCGTTTTACCTTAATATCGGGCTATGCCCAAGCCTCCTTTATATAAGCCGCTCGCAGCTCTTCGAATTGGATAATATTACTGTCTAATTGAGGTCACATGGCTTCTTCTAGCTTCTCCAATCGTTTTTGTCAAGGCCTTGTGCTTTGTGCTTCAGCTCATTTGTTGTAATCAGTTCGCTGGTTTTGTCTTCACAAAAATTATACGTTAAATTGGGGACATTTGTGTCTATGTAAAGGTTACAGGTTGCGGTATGCCACATCTGTACAAACAGTAGTCGGGAACACCAGTTGTCTGGGGCTTGCTGCTTAGATTGTCATCGTAAAGATATCGTTCGTTAACCAAATATCTAGGGCAAGCATACTTGTTGAGACGAAAATTTTTATAAGCACTCAACCCTAAAAATCCCACATTAAATTTTGGAAACAAAAGTTTTATTTTGGCCGAAATACTTGTAAGACGAATTAGAAACAGTACATAATATTGTATTATGTAATCTATTGTACAATAAAAAAGTTACTGTATCATATTCCGAGTCCCGTGTGGTTGCCATGGCCTGTTCCAAGAATAGATTCTCACATGTCACTTCCATGTATTTCCTGTCGTTGGAGTATGACAAATCGAGATGATACACATCGCAAGAAATAGAACGTAGCCACGAAGTGTAACGCTTCTCAATCCGATGCAGCGCCAAGTCTACGGCACATTGCTTTTGTAGAAACTTCCAATCGAATCAGAGAGTAGAGTTAGATCGATCAACAGTGAGTCACTTGCAGTCAGCACGATCACGACCCCGGAAGAATCTGATGAACAACAGGGGAAGCCCGAGAAGGAGGAATCCATGCCTACAAATAATCACATCGACTCTATATCCTTTCTCCCATAGGAGATAGAATAAGAGCGAATGGGATATGGTGACAGACAATAGGCAGCGATCAAGCATAGGATGTGGTCATGTCAAATTTAGTTATAACTTTGACAACTGCTGATTAGTGATTCATTACTATCAAAGAAAATCGAGTATTTATATCGATCCATGTCAAAAAGACATGCAGTGTGCTAGTAGACTTGGAGTGGGCTACAAATGAAAATTGCATTGATTCTTGGGCCCCCGAAGGATCCTACATATACCTTGTAATCGCAAATTGAATCGCCTTTGCGAACCCCACTTCAATATGGGATGGAGCTGGCAGAACACTAATATTTAATTTAATATATCTACCGCCAGTCATTCACGCCATCTTAGGTCAGAACCTCATGCCAAGCTTGGGGTTATATGTGAAGGGTCTATAATCGTTATTCACACCAATTGACCCCACTAAAATATTGTTACCTATACCATTGAGACGTCAACAGGACCTCACCGAGGAAATAGGAGTCCGCATGAAGTTAAACAAAGAACTAGGGGACAACGACGCCATCGAAGAAACAATAGGTGTCGGTTGGAAGAAGAAGCGATTTGGTTGACGGTCATACCCGATCATGCAGCAAGAACGAGTAAGGTTGTCAGTAGCATCGTGGAAAAAAACTTGGGTACCTTTGGTGACTTAACAGGTACGTAAACGGTTGCAGGAATTAGCGATAGTCTAAAGACAGCTACTGACAGTACCGAAGTAAACATACAAGTAGAGAAATGAAGAAAGTGCGAGTATGTTTAGAGTTAAGAGCAGTGACTGCATTGATACCGGCGCGCCAATTTATATTTCACCGTTCCAACTACACCATAGGCAATATCGAAGGGAGGAGTTACTATACCACGCCAGATTTGACGACGGCACACAACCACCTTCCCATAAATTCGTACTCCTAGTATCTGTTCAGTTTTAGGTATGGGAAGAGTTAGTACTCATTTATTTCTGTGCCTTTTAGATCACATGCAATCACGCAGCAGTTCCAGCAAACTTTGAAAGGAATGATACTACAAAGCCTCCCAGCATACCACTACTTAGGCAAAATCGTGATAGCAACGGACGACTAAGAATAACACGTTCGGATGAAGAAGAAATCCATACGGCTACTGACGTACCACAGTTTCAAATTGACGCCCACGAATTGCCAATTTTGCAGTACGAGGGGTCATGGGTCTACAAAAGCGAGTATCCATTGCCGAAATTGATATTTATCTGCCACGAGAAACGAGCCAAGCTCATGGACTGGCCCACCCCAAAGAAATACAAGGGAGACGAAACACCAGCAACCATGGGAACCATGAAAAAATATATTGTAGAGTCCTGAAATTTACAGTAAATCATGTATCATTTCAATTAAAAGCGGATGTATGAGACTACGGCATAGGCGGAGGACTGTATCGATTAATAGAAGAGAGAAAGGAATACCTGATAATCTTTAATATAACTTTCAACTCGACCTAGCACATCTATGCAACGCCAACGAAGGAACTGTTGACCTTGGTAATTGAACTCCCACGTTTCCGGGATCATCTAGAAGGTCTAAAACTCCGGTGCCTACCGAATTCCATCGTGATGGAAATACTCAAGTAAAAATAAAGACTAAGTGCGCTTCTCCCAGATCAAGACTTTCCTAGCTGAGAGAAACGTACTTCAGAAAAGGCCCATTGTTTTCTATAGTCGTAACTTTCCAGCCACTCTCGTGCTTGACAAGTATTTAAAGTAGTTCGATAAGAACACTACATGCCGATACATTCTAGAAGCCTTGCAAGTACAGTGCTTTGATTGGTTCACCGTGGACATCTCACCACGTTTACCGAATGAACCGGAACTCATCAGCCCAGCGAACATACAGCAGAAGGCGATTACAGTGCTGATTGGTAAACATCTGACTATGAAAGTATTGGAACATACGAACATCCGCAAAAAGTACAAAAGGCCTAACTTGATGACGTCCACTCAACGTTCAATGTGGGATTGGATCACCTGCTAGCACCAACTCGTGGGATTTTGTTCGACACGGCGAAAATACTGAATTTTTCAACACTGCGAAAATGGGGAAACAACCGAACCCTGCCAGTTTTGCAACACCAAGTGACATGTTCGAACACTACTGAGAATAGGCCAACCGCACTTTCTTGGAGTGGCCGATCGTCTGTGGTAGGTACGACAATAGGATCAGAGTCTCTCCGCCTCAAAGCCTGAGATTATCGCAGTCGATAGTTTCTTGGTGCGGCCGGTCGTCACCGTAGACACAATAGAATCTGAATCGCCTACCCTCTATGGATGAGATTATCGCAGTCTAGATCATAGATCAGTCTTGAGTACCGCGAGGGTTGCGTTACCGTCGTTACCTTCAGCAGCTCCAGTAAGTTTTGAAGAAAACACCTGGTCGCGAACCCTATCACGAGATCAAGCATGTTTGTGGATGTTGCAAACTTTGTTTAACGCTCATCAGCGCAGGTACAGAGCCACCAGTAATAGATTGAAACCGTCGTGAATCCAGCAATGATCGAGCAAGATATCACAGTTTGTGTAGTGAAGGATGCAAGGACCAAACGATGAAGGGCCCAATCGTTCTCTACGGCGACGCTAGTTTCACTGAGATACCAAAGGGTTGACCGGATTGGAACAACACTATATTGCGAGCTGAGCAAATATTTATATCGTTGTTGAAGAGCTCCGGACCTCCCAGGTCTACATTGCATGCCACAAAAATGCTAGCATGAGTCAGCTTAGAGGACACCTGCGTTGCTCAACGCGTACCGAGCCGGGGAGAAGCCACTCCATTTCCCGCGCGGTACAAATCCATCTTTCAACGCACTGGAGACAACGGTCTTCGATTGAGTGGACGAGGTGTTCAGGCATTGCTATCGCGCGAGTAGGGTCATCTACTTACACACAACCATGGATTCTCGCGCCAAAAGTCGCCGATTTGAAATTATTCACTTCATGGTCCATTCCGGGAATGTGAAGCAGGCGTGTAAGGCCCAATAAAGTAGGAAAATAGTTTGTGGATGTTACGTTAGCAGTGCATGAACGGTGGCTGTCTAGGTTTAGTTAAGGAGACGTACAATGTTGATAAACCAGTCACGCAAACAATGCTTGAATTGCCCTGAATGGTTTGAATCAATTTTCAATGTATTATGATACATACCAGAAAATCTGGTACGGGAAATGAACATTCACCATTCCAAAGGAGGATGCGACTATCACAAAGCGTTAACATACTGATCGATGGGTATATCTAATATATTACGCTGTATATTGATCATTTGATATTGGACCAATGGTTGTACGTTTTTGCTAGCTTTTGAAATTGTGTATTTGAAGTGTGTCCCTTTCGACCCATGTTCAGTATATCGATTCGAAGGTTAATTCGACCTATCCATGAAAAGAAAAATTAAGATGCAGGTTATTAGGGTCAGTTATGACTGTTCAAGCTTTCTGCTCCTCATAGATCTGGGAGTGAACAGCGTGTTCTTGTTTATGTGGCAATATTCTTCTCACAACCAGATACAGGAAAAGTGGCGACTGCCTTTGAATAAACATTTGAGTATTTCAGAGTACAGCTACGCACTGCTCGTGTACATGCAACCTGAGAGTTGATGTAGGAAGGAATGCGTTGTATCGTAGAGCTAATACAACGAGGCGACAAAAGACACATAAATGACATTCGTACTATTACAAACGAGCAATGGAAAAGCGAGAAATATGACATCCCAATGTTGACCCATTTACGCATGAGGTTGAAATTCCGAAAGATAGTTATGAACTTATCCATTGATAGTTTGACGATATCATATTCATGGTGTAGACAAAGTACGGTGCAACGAGCGACAAAGAATGTCACACATTCATAAAAAGTTTGGGAAATTCTCTTGGTTTTATTTTTCAGAGATGTTTTTTTTTAAGACTGTCAACTGCGAAGAAATAGGGCTATGGTTTTCTCGCACTAAAACCATTGGTTCCGAATTGAGCCTGGCTATGCTTGCAAATGCTCTCTTTGTAAGAATTCTTGCTGAGGGTAAGCTACAAGGTGAGTTCAATAGTTGATTATGATCTGCGGGATCTCCGTCGCTTGATATTTATATATTTAACTTATCCAAAACCTCAGACTACTGTTCAATAATGGATCCTGACATAATGCTGATCTTCAGCTGGGGATGTTGAAGTTTCATATTCGAACACGCCGGTAGCTTTGGGTGCCAATCGGCGATGTGTAGACGGACGCGGTCTAGTGTTTTGTCCTGTGTGGCGCGGCTCATTTGCAGGTCCATCGCCTCATTGAAATTGGCCTGTATCAATGAATGTAACAATACCTCAGCCTTGCACAAAATAAGCGAAAAACCCGATTCAATCTTAAATTTTTATTATTATTTCTCGCTCATAGATGATGAGCGTGCGTGAAAGAGAATATACAGCGTTTCAACTTTGAAAGTGTGGAGCGAGGTGTCCTAGTGTGAACTGACATACACAACAGAGAAAACGAAGCAATACGACTATTGCGTGATGCTACAACCATCAAAGTTGAAGGAATGAATATAACACACCTTCTCCACATGTATCTCTAATTTTCTCTTGAGTTCTTCCACTGTGACATTTTTCGACTTCACGCCGTTAAGTACTTGATGACTAGTCATTGCTTTGCGCTGGTCATCTGTTAAATTTACACACGTTCTACTATCGAGCCGTAACCTTTTAGCGCTCAAGGCATCCTCGCTTGTGTCGATCTGCATATACATTTGCATGTGGTTGTTAAGCAATGAAATATCACACAACGATCAAGGTATTTGCTCAGCCTTCCCTATAACCGAGTTTAGCTAACAAACGAATCTCGGAGCCCCCGCCCCCCCAAAAAATCAGCCTTTCGAACGTAAAAATGTACTTGCACCGCCGGATTGAGCGAAGTTCGAGGAAAGTGCCGAAATTAAAGATTTCCGAATTGTACCTTACGCAGTGTTGTCATAATCGCGTCACAAACATTGGGAATGTACTTTGTCAACATCTTTTTCCTCTCCTGCTTGGCTTTCTGTGAATGTGCCTTAGCCAGTTTTTTCGACAGCTGTTGGCACGACAGCTGCCGACAACCGCCCATATGAAAATTGGATATCAATTTCGAACATGCGTGCCATACTGTAGTCAGATACATGTATTTTGGAATCACATTGAACCAGGTACAAAAGACCATGACCCACAGCTCAGTACAAAGATCTGGAGTCTGCCCATCAATATGCACATCATATTCCATCCCATGAAGATACTGGACGGTTGGAATATATCACGTGAAACATCACGTGCAATTATTATGTACCGTATATCGAAGCAAATTCATGTGTACAGTGAAGCCTACTAGGTAATGTTTACAACTAAACTTTCATGAACTCAAAATCGCTAGTGAGCTTTGTAACGTATAATGCAAATCGATGTCTGAATTATTGCTCGGGTACTCACTATCTGATTCGGAGCGTGCTGTTTGCAATGCCTCAAGATGATAGTCAGTCAGCGATACTGTGTTATTTACGAATTCATGTGTCAGATCTATGCAGCTTGTATCTATGATACACACTTACCATGATCGCTTTCTTTACACTAATTGCTAAAGCCTCGGCATCGTCACCAATATATTCCTTTCCAGTGCCTTTGAATGGTATCTTGGTGCTCACTATAGATACAAATACTCCTGTATTTGACCAAAGGATGTGCTAGTCAATGTCAGTAATGCATATAAAGCGCTAGCAGAGTCTCAAATTACAACGAGAATCAACACTATGATGACTTTCTCAGTACCTCTTTTAACACCGATGCAACCGTGCACAATACCTTCTAGCCTCAAACAACACGACAGCCGCATTTTAAAGTAGAATTGGTCCAAGCCGCGCCTTTAATCTGGTCGGCTATGCATATATATATAGATATTCACATATGCGAGTGTACTTACAACCGAGCGCAAGCATACATTTCACGATTCTAGAAATCGAGCTGACTTCGGCGACCTACCAATTTTGTCAGTTGTCGGATTCATCTTGTAAGATTTCCAATTGATCCTGGTCATTGCTGTACGCGTCACTACATCCGCCCCGTTCTCGAACAGTAGCGGGATACGATTGGCAAACCGGTACACATTAATACCCTGCAATATCAGTATAGCTTGTCACTAGGCTGTGCTAGTACCTAATACCACAATAGGGGCCTCCATCACATACTGGAATTGAAACTAAATGCAAACAAGTACATAGCAAGATAACCTACCGAAGATTTGAGCAAAGTGAGGAAATACTTACGAAATTTAGTGTTTAATTTTCTTCTTTAGAATGAAAGTATATTGCTCACCACCATATAGGCCGCATCTAAAACTGTACTACAATGGATATGGAGCCGGCTCCCCCGACCCCCTAGATGTCATGTTTACAATAGAGCACGTGAAATTGGCACCTGTGCAACACGCTACATCTGCAAATCATTTAGCGAGATATAAAAACCAACAACTAGTGTACTGTCAATGTGCCTGAAACCCGAAAATCTCGAGTCACGATCAATATGCAATACTGAGTTCATGCGTCGTTGAGATCGACATAGAATCGAGCAGACATGCCGTAGGATGATTTCATACTTAATCACATAAGGATCACCGTTGTACATTCACAATTGCAAAAAAAATTTGAGCATATTAATGTGTTTGTATTGTTGAATATGTAAGCGTCACACAGTGACACCACATTGTGATTGTATGATTCACAAGCATCCAATTCCACCAACTAAACATCATAAGCCAATAACCTGCCAGAGACTTCTTCAGTCACAACGCCTTATCAAAAAACCACGACAACAACAGACTCCGCCAGATGTACAATAACAGCCTTATCCACCTACCTGTCTCACTTTCTTTCCACCCAGAGATACGCCAGCTTCCACGATGAAGGGATGGCCCTCGAATATACCAGCGGGTACTTGACACGTGGCAACCATTTCTGGCTTAAGCTCCTTCATAATTCCCAGGCGCAAATTATACTCCCCAGCTGGAGATAAACACTAGTATTGTTGATATGTACCGAGAATTACATGAAGATGCAAAAGTCAGAATATTGAAATAATGGAGTGACACCTGCGACCTGAAGTGCAGTCGAAGCCGCCAGGAACAAATACAAAGAAAACTGAGCGCGAAACCCTGTGAACTCGAATTCGTGTCAGGTTCATTGCATAGTACACCTCGAACATGATAAAACATACATCACCATCAGGCGTCGGAAAGTTGGTGTCGTGGAAGATTCCCCTAAGTGATTTAATATCCTTTTCCTCAAGTTCAGCTATCGCATCCATCTTGTCTCTTCCCATGCGCTCTGTTCGTTTTAATATTTTGGACGTGATTCAAATCGTGCCCCCTCATATAGATTCCAATACAAAGGTATATTCGCTACACCGCGCATGCAAATATTTAAAAAGGCGGATCGACACTTGCGTTTAAAAGTATTGACCAACCAAGCATAAAATTTGTGTATATGCAACTAAATAGAGTAGGTTATAAAGGGTTGTAAAGTACAATGACAGATATGCGCCCCCATTGTAACTTAAGTTACCAAACAAATTTCTTAGAGCGTCAGCCTAAAACGAAACAGAACTCACTCAGCAGAATATATTTCAAGAACGTAGCAAAAACAAACATGTTTAACGCAGTTGAAGAAGACGGAGAAGAACATCAGAGAGATACGACTGATTGAATCGGTTTCCGTGAGATTTTCATTGATGCCTACAAACTTAACCGATAAATGTATAAACACTTTGTAGCACGAGGAATGTATCATGGCCTGATGGTAACCCGATGCGTACTCAGCCCCAGCTGGTATCAGGTGTGCACTAGTCACACACTACCCATATGCCACCTTTCACAACAATCAGATACCCGTATTATTGGCAGTGCAATCGTGCTAAATGCGTGTCTAGCTAACTTACGGACCAATCATACCTATGATTTCATTCGCTTTTACTGAGCTGATTCCCGCGAATTCATGAGTCAGAGTTCGCTTCAATTTCTTATTGGCATGTGCAGCGTCACTGTCCAGTTTAAAATATGCAGAAGTAGTGTATTAAATTATTGCTTACATAGTATAGTGCCGTTTACCCGACATAATAGTTTGTCGTAGATGTCATCCTTGCTTATCAATACAAGGTTACAGCCATAAGCCTGCAAGGCAAGTTTGTGTCTAAGTAAGCCACATGGGAGATGTATACATAGACTTGGTGCTACCAATAAGAATTAAACCTACCCTGGGCGGCCATACCCTCCATTGATATACTTCAATAGTACCATACTGAATTTAACTTGAGGCACCAAAGAAAAACGACGGCAACTCCACCTACCCCAAAATCTTTTTGAGAACGATCAAATCAACACTGGAAGGATGGTGCTTCACTTCATATGCCGGCGCTGGCATATGTTCGGTTCTGCGGGCGTACCGCACTTCGAACGACTTGTCCTCTTTCAGCGACACGTGTATAAGCGAAAACTCGGCGTAAGGCGTGATCACGGCCAGTTGGCGCATGTATGACAAGATCTTAGCTCGATATGTTGTCCAGGTTCCTGCATGGTATATCAAACAAGGATCCCAAGACACTTGGATATTGGGCGAGACTTTGCCATGATACTACCGGAACATCAAGTACTTGTTTTGTTTTCTGCCTCTAACCTCCAGAACGATTTGTGTAACTTCTCTTCATGACGGTAACAAGGCAAAGGAACTGACAAGCTGAGCAGTAGAGATTCCTCGAAGCCTGAAGAACAGATACACAGACTCTATCCTTACTTTTAAGAGCTCATGACAAAAACTTGCACAGCGCTCATGACGAAAACATGCACAGCTTCGCATGTGAACGCATATACATAACATAGTTCAAACGTTTGTGAGTCAGAACACACACAACACATATGGTAGACATCGCCAATCAGTTTGAACATACCTTCAATAACAACCGTGATCTCCGAGCCTCTCCAGCCTTCCGTGTTGGGTACCTCCACATGTCGGATGATCCTGGGCGCATTCTTGTAGATATCTATATCCAGTGTACACTCCGTCACTTTGCTATTAGGGCCTCTGCTACTTCGCACACTCAATGGCTGCCCTGTGCTCATCTTCGCCCAAATCAAGGCCATCTTAGCACCCAGTCCAAATCTACCTCGGTTCTGTTTCACCTGATATTTGGTCCCCGCCAGCACACGGCCAAACATGTTTGGTATATCCCTGGTGTACACAATATCGTGTGTAGATTCAATCACAACAGGGTTCACCGCAGTGGTACAGGTATGGCTGAGCATCGTTCACCGCAGTGGTACAGTATAGCTGACCATGATTCACCGCAGTGGTACAGTATAGCTGACCATGGTGCACCGTAGTGGTACAGTATAGCTGACCATAGTGCACCGTAGTGGTACAGCATAGCTGACCATGGTGCACCGCAGTGGTACAGTATAGCTGTCCATGGTGCACCGCAGTGGTACAGTATAGCTGACCATGGTGCACCGCTGTGGTACAGTATAGCTGACCATGGTGCACCGCAGTGGTACAGTATAGCTGACCATGGTGCACCGCAGTGGTACAGTATAGCTGACCATGGTGCACCGTAGTGGTACAGTATACCTGACCATGGTGCACCGCAGTGGTACAGTATAGCTGACCATAGTGCACCGCAGTGGTACAGTATAGTTGACCATGGTGCATATGCATGTGCTCGGGTGTGTACTCCATTGCGCACTTGGAGATTACGCCCCGCATGTCCGCTGGGAAATATTGAGCCGCCAGGAATCGACGTGTTTTTAATTGATACAAACGCTAAACGCCGACAACGTTACGGTACAAATCTAGCATACATCCACGCACCGATGCTTTATGTTTGGCATCTGCCAATCTCTATGCGCGGCTCCAATCTCATCGGCTATTCACAGTGTGAAACTTGATAGTGCAACGAATGTTCCATAGCGCGACTAATTTGAATCTCTGATCTCTGAGCTTCGTTGGCACGCCCATCAGTTCGCACGCAATTCCGAGCTTTTGCAATCACTTGCCCACAGAATGTGGAAATACAACACTGCAGTGTAGCACATCAGCAGCAAATCGGATAGTCACTAATTGTATGCACAAATGCACTTTTGTATTTGTAAACAACTCGAGATACGAGTACTATAGGGTGACAGGTCATGAAGATTTCCCATGGAATCACCGCAAATAATACTGACAAAACGTGTCTTACTCGTGTCGCATGCCGCTTCCATTGTCGGTCACAGTCACTTTGTAGTAGTCCGTTTTCTTGTTGCCCTTGTTGATTTTGTTGCCGATAAAATCAGCATTGACTATCTCCTCACTAGCAAGTTAAGAGCAGATGAGAGTGTGGGTCATATACAATTACAATGCTGTTCATTTACTCACGTAGTTCTTTAAACTGCGGTTACCCTCCAGGCCAGCAGTTATAAAGTTACAGACTCTGGAGTACTTCCATGATTCGGTATTCTGAACGATGACAACGACATGTACTGCAGCAGTTTGCACCGCCGAAAAAGTGAAGTCATTGTCAGTACAGCTAATGGTCTTTAATAGCGCATATTTGTTCGTGCATGAAAGCAGGCGTAAAGGACTTACATCACCACTTTGATCTCTGGCAGAGTGTCACAGGCTTCCGCTGCGTCCAATGAATTCTCAACAAATTCCCTGACCGTTGTGTACAGTGATTTGCCCGGCTGCACAGATAGATCAATGTGAAATTCAGTAGTTACATACTTCAAAGATGACCTGTAAAGTATCCCGAGCGCGTTGAGGCATAGGTTCGAATTTGAACTTGAGTTTCGCCGTGCTGCATTTCAATGTTTCAATATGACAGTGTAGTCAAGGGCATATGTGCGTATGTACATATATATATACGCCCATGCACGTATAGAGGGCAAACAAATATATAGCACAACGCAGCGTGCTATACTCCAAGGCCACCACTTCAGTGTTCATAGCGATGACTAATCTATTCGAACTTCGATGCTTTACGTAGAATCACCCTCATGTACGATAGTGTACAAGTGAGTTCAAAAATTCCAGAAACAAGCCGCCGCATCGCGCGCGGGAAGGCCGATCACGGCCTATTGGAGTGAACATGATAAAATCCCTTTTGCAAGTATGCTTACTTCCAGGATAGAGTTTTCCAGTATTCGCGAGAGTGTGTACTTGCGTGTCAGATCGTGTGGCGATATGCAGTGAAGGCAAGTATTTACTCACAGTGAAAAACTAAACACGTCTTCAAAATCTACAGGGTATGTAGAGATTGCCCAGAAAGCGGCGATGAATATGCGAACCGCGCCGATAAACTGTCGAAGCAGTCTGCAGAGTCACGACACGTAGACTTTGTGATATTGAGCTATATCTGCTCTATATAGTTGATTCGAGGTTTCTGGGATGTAATCAATTTATATAATGAACAGATCAAGTTCTAAACCCATAGCTCAATGATTCTTCGCCTATAATGTAAGTTCTTGTTAAAATCAAGTGCTTTCGCAAGTACATTGTTGTGGAAAACAGTCGGCAGCTGAGTCTAATTCGAGGCTGTTCCACTTGCACATAATATTTTGTCAAGACTCAAATAAGATGAGCATGACAAGAATACACACGCATATCAAGTCTCCAACCAGCAGCAACCGAATCACACAGAATTGCTATCATAAACGCATCTAACACTACGTCTCATCTCAAGGTATATAGTACAATCGTACGAACTCTCGATGTAGCAACTATCAAATCAAATATAGGTGTAATAATTCACGCAAACATTACGACACATGTGCCATCTAAGGACATCAAGTACAATTACGTATAGGAACCTTCTAACTCACGACAACCAAATCAAGCAGTTACAATCAAACACGCAAGCATAACGCTTGTTTCAACTCATAGTACAAAGCACAACAACCAAAACTAACAGAGTCGCGAAAACCAAATACACACTGTAGTCATACGCGAAAAAGCATAAACGCGTCTCCTCTCAAGGCTCAAGGTATCAAGTACAAAAGCAGAACTCAAATCGAATAGCGGGCACCAGACTCATCATCAGACTCACGTTGTCAAATCCGGCAATTCCTTTGTTGTTGGCGAAGAATTCGGCAGGACTCTTCACCTGCAGACCATCGCTTTTCTTCTTAGGTGGCATTGTACTGTAATGATGCAGTTGTCTGTCTGGCGTAGACGTGCTGCCAATCCCGCTATGTTTATTGACTATTTTCAGGTGTATATACAGAAAATACGCCCCCGTTTAAAATAATCAATAGAGCTTTCACATAGCCTTCTTCAGTAAACAGACAGAGTGCTATGACTTTCACCACAATTGCTATTTACATTTTACTATTTTCCAGACTGCCAGAGCTACTTCGTTCTTCTTGTTTTTTTCTAAAACAAAGAGATATGCATTACACACTATTTACAAATTTTACATACATATGTACGTTCCTGGAGAATTTGAGCAAAAGAGTTAGTTGAGAACTTGAGATAGCTAAAGAAGTTGCTGTTGGAGGCATGGAGCAGCAACTTGTTCCATGCCGGGTGTTATGGGCTTTCTGCCTATCCACACTACTGGCTTAGTAGCAATGCGATGGGACAAGGGATCCATAGCGTTGAATATTATATATAAGGTAGACTGGTAGAGTGTGTGCCACTTTGTAAAGCTATGGAGGCTCCTCT